CTGGTGTAGGTAAGAACAAAGTGTTTTTTTTTTTAAATGTTTTTATTTATTTCTAGGAGAGAGAGAGAGAGACAGCGTGAGCAGCGGAGGGTCAGAGAGAGAGGGAGTCACAGACTGAAACAGGCTCCAGGCTCTGAGCTGGCAGTCAGCACAGAGCCAGACGCGGTGCTCGAACCCACGAACCGCGAGATCATGACCTAAGCGAAAGTCGGACGCTTAACTGACTAAGCCACCCAGGCGCCCCACAAAGTGTTGTTTTTAATACTCTCTGCTTCCCTAAACCTATCACAGTAGTTGGTTTACCCTAGCTTCTCAACGGCTATCTTAAGAATGGACAGATCCAATCGGTAAAAGTGCCAATCCAATCCAGACCCTAGCCCAGGCACTAGACATATACTGTGGAACAAAACAGACCATCTCTAACCTTGCAGAGCTTACAACCTAACAGGATAGTGTAAACAAGTAGGCAAACCAAATCTAATTAGAATCTGAAATGCATTCTTTGAAGGAAATAATAAATGGGACACTTTTTAGAGCAGTAAAGGAAGGGTTATCGAGGCATTTACGTTGATAATTGAAAGCTGAAAAAAAGCATAGGCTAAGCTCCTCTATGGTTTTTTTTTTTTTTTTTTAACGTTTTATTTATTTCTTAGAGAGAGACACAGCGTGAGCAGGGGAGGGGCACTAAGAGAGGGAGACACAGAATCTGAAGCAGGCTCCAGGCTCTGAGCTGTCAGCACAGAGCCCGACGCGGGGCTCCAACCACAAGCCGTGAGATCATGACCTGAGCCGAAGTCGGACGCTCAACCGACTGAGCCCCCCAGGCGCCCCTGTTTTCTTTTTCTTTTTTTTTCTAAAGATTCCTTTCTATGTTTCAGGTGAAGAACCATACAGTGGGTCAACGAATATACAACGCGTGACTACGAGAAGCTCGCGTTACGTTAGACGTCAGGGATGCGGTGAAATACGCAACTAGACAAGTACACGTCGGTTCCTGCCATACGCGGGGGTGCCTCGGGAGACCCTTCCATCCCTGACCCCTCCAACCCCACCTAGAGCTCTACCTTCTAGGACTCTATCTTATACCCCCGCCACGTCCCGACTCTCCCACCCAGCCGCGAGGATGAGCTACCGGGGCTCGTCTCCATTCCCCGCCCCCTTCTTTGTCCGAGGTTTCTCCTTTCAGGACTCCCTTTAGCTTCCTCCCCTCCCTCTTCCTGGACCCAGCTCTTGCCTCTGTGAAACCCCCATAAGTCGTCTGGTAGAACTCGTCTTCCTCCTCTGCCTCCAGGAGGCCAGAAAGCCGGTTCCCCGCGGTCTTCCGGGGGGCCCGGCCCCCAGCCAAACTCATACCGCCCACCGAGACAGCGCCGTGATCAGAGGCCCCTCACCCAGCGCTGCTATCGGAGCTCGGCGCTCGACACCACAACCTGCGGGTGGTAGGCGGTGGCGGAAGCCAGTAGTCTGCAGGCAGAAGTAGCAGAGCGTCGAGAGGCTCCTAGTCCCGTCAGCCACGCCTTCTTCACTCTGCAGCCCCGCCCACTGGGGGGGCCGCGGAGACCGCCACCAAGCCCCCCATTGCAGCACGCACGGACCTGGACAGTGGGATGATGGGGCTCGGTGACTCCAGGAGTCCCACTGCCCTAAGTCCAGAATTTAGGAGTCAACAAATTTTCACTTTTAAAGAGGTCAGTCTACCTCTGCTCCAGTCTGTTTTCCATTCTGCTTCTAGTAGGAACCTTTCTAAAATCCAGACTTAGTCACACTCTTCTGCCTAAAGGCGCTTAATGGCTTCCTATCATCCACGGGTTAAAGTTCAAAATCCTTGAGGCAGAATAGTAGTGTGGTTAAGAACATAGCTTTCGAGCCAGCCATACCTGAGTTTGAGTTTGAGTTTGAGTTTAGGTCTTTTAGCTGTGTGACTTTGGTTAAGTTGCTGTGTTCTCAACTGTAAAGTGGAACTAGGGGCGCTGGCTGGCTCAGTGGGTAGAGCACATGACGCTTGGTATCCGGGTCATGAGTTCAGATCCCACGTTGGGCGTGTAACCTGCTTAAAAAAATAAGGTGGGATGAATAATATTTCATTTTTAAAGTTGTTAGAAAGATTAATAATTCTCCATCGTGCCTGCCTGCTTTTCCTTCTCCTTAGGATCCTTTTCCTTATTTGTCTACCTGGCAAAATTCTGGTTTTATAAGACACTGAAGTCTTCTCACTTGCCAGGCTCTCTTCCTGGCACAGTTTCCATAACCACAGGGATCATGCTGCCTCGTTTCTCTAGAATAGTCCCAATCTCCAATAGTCTGTAGTATTGTCAAGACCCTGTATCAGTTCTTTCCTATCTTTTATTCTGAAAATATGACTGTCAACCCATAGCACTTGTACATACTCTATGATGGCAGCTACTACATTTTACTTGGATGATTTATGGGTCTGCCTCTGTCATTAGTCTGTGATCTTTTTGAGGGCAAGGATTTTATCTTCATCTGTGTATACCAGGAACTCTCAGTGCCTAGACATCGTGGGGACTGAATAACGTGAATTCAATAAATGGATTAATGAGTGACTAATTGAATGAATGAGGCACTCATCCTCTTATTTTGTGTCTATGCTGATCTTGCTTGCCCCAGTCCCCTCCATTCCGACCTTTGGGACTGTTCTAAGATATGAAGATCACGTTAATAAAGCTCTGTGTGTGTATGTGTGCATGTGTGCACACACACATTATTTCTGTCAAGTTTGTATGTGTGGCCCTATTTTTTTTTAATTTTTAATATTTTTGAGAGAGACAGAGTATGAGTGGAGGAGGGGCAGAGAGAGGAGGAGACACAGAATCCAAAGCAGGCTCCAGGCTCTGAGTTGTCAGCACAGAGCCTGACATGGGGCTCAAACCCACCAACCGTGAGATCATGACCCAAGCCGAAGCCGGACACTCAACCGACTGAGCCACCCAGGTGCCCCTGTGTGGCCCTATTTTGAGATCACCAGATTGCTCTGCTTTTCCAAAATCTATATTGGTGAACTCCCTTTTCAATTTCCTTGGGGGCACCAAGCCAACATGGCCTGCTACGCCTCTGCTTCCACACCCTGCCACGTCACCCCAGGTTTGCTATGCCAGGAATGTTACTGGGTAAGAGTGGCTCTGTGACACAGAGGACACCCCAGGGATTGAGTGGGAGTGGAGGCAGAGGCAATGTATAGGGGGAAAAGATGAGAGATGCCCCTGGCCCCACTTTTGAATTTTGCCTTCATTCATTCGTATATTCAGGAGACAATAAAACAATAATATATGTATTATGCACCTACTTTGTGCCAGGCACAAAGATGCTTGAGACAGAAAATGCTTGAGATATAAAAATGGATAAGATATCATCTTTGCCATGAAATACTCAGTCTTGTGAGGGAGACAAACAAGTCATCAGACTAACATAATACCAGGTAGTAGGAGTGATAGTAGCCATTTTATGGTACATAAAGAGAAAAAAGACCCCTAAGAAGCTACAAAACAGGGATCTCTTCTTCTCGGGAAGGCTGAAATCAAATTCATAGATCACATCCCAGGAAAAGATCCCCCTATTTGACTACTGCCTGTGTGAGACAGGGCTTTATGGGTCTATTTCCAATTTTTAAATCAGAAACATCTTATTTCTACACCGCTGATTTCTAAAATAACTCAGGAAATGGTAGCAACTCCATGCCTTTTATGGAAACAAGGATAATTTATTCAATAAATATGTATTTATTGAAGACCTATGAGCCAAATCCTGGGCTAGACCCCCTGCTCCCACCTGGAACAGTTTTCCGGTACTGTTCATTGAGTGGAAGGGTATATGTATAGGCAGCTGTAAAATACTTCAGTGTCATTCAATTCCATTGCTATCGAATGAAATGGCAACCCAATCATGTAACGTTTCCCTACCTTCAGTATCCAATGGAACATGAATAATCCAGCAGGTGGCAGCAGGGAAACAATTATTTCTATCTTGAGTGAGGGGTAGAAGGCAGAGGTAAATAGGCAGTGGTGGACTCTGGTCTGTCTGTAGCTAGGTTCCCTTTCTAGAATCCGGAAGACACCCAGATAGAGGATAACCAGGCCATGTTGGGGGCTGCAGAACCAAGACCACCACCCCCATTTCTCTTCATTTATTAATTCCACAAATAATTACTGAGCCGCTACCATGTGCAGAATCACAAGAGGGGAGGCGTTGGGGATACAAGAGTGAAACAGTTTGCTTTTCAGCAACTTACGTCCAATCAGGGAGAGACAGCTAGGTCTTCAGCTTCCCACCTAGTTTCACAATCTCCAAGGTACTTTATTAAAACTGAGCAGAGTTACTCTGAACACTGGACTAGAATGGGGAATTTCTCTGCACTTTGGTGCACTGATTAACATAAGCTAAGGGTTTGCTTGGATCGCAGAAAGATTGTGATAGGGTCTTCTTCCGTGGCTCTCTCTGTGAGGTCCTCAAACATTCATTTATCAAATATTTACTGAATTTCGTAATTGTGCCCAGCATTGAGCTTGAAGCAAAGTGTAGATGTTTTGAATGTCATTCCCAGGAAGGCAAGACATGCACGCACGTTAAGCTAAACAGTAAACGAAGCACTAAAGCCGGAAGAAGAGTTGCATGTGATGTTTTGTGATATTCAAGGGCTTAACGTCGCTGACTTGACAATAGCGCCTCGGTCAGGAGTTCTTCCCTGGGCTCTAAAATCGAAGGCTAAAGGGGCCTACTCTTATCCTGAGCTCTGGCAACTCAACCGGGTCCTTTAACAGAGCCGAACTCAAGTGGACCCACCGAGCCACCGTAGGGCTAGTCCCCAGTCCGGAAACAGCTTGTGTTCGACCTGTGGATTCGTTAGGGCGTGAGCCCGCGTCATGTGACCAATAGCAGCCTTCCGATTGGCTCTCAGGGCCCCTCTCTTCCCCCCAATTGAGTGGGCTGGAAAGCTGGAAAGGTTACGCGCGTGCGCAGTTCCCGGATTTCCCTGGCCACCCAGAGAGGAGCAGTGAGGCTGGGCGATAAACAGGCTGTGGCTAGGGAGGAGGGGCGGGGGCATTTGTTCCGCCGGGACTTTTCACGCCTCCTTATTTCTTTAGGTGTGGTTAGGTTCGGACGCGGGGTCGCGGCGGCGGACTGGAGCCCACTCCTGGGTGAAAGGAGAAAGGAGCCCCCGCGGCGAACTGTTGAAGTTGCGGAGAGGATGCGAGACGGGTTTTCCCCTATGCCGGCCAAATGGTGCGGCCCTGAGCGGTTTCAGGACCCAGCCCGACGTGTCTGAGAGAGGCCCCGGAGGGGGCAGGGAGGCGGCCCGCAGAACGCGGGTTCTGTGAGGAGACGTGGAGAAAATTCGACTCGGAGAAGAGGAAGCGCCCGATTGAAAGAGCGAGGCCTCTGAGGGGGAGGGGGCTGCCAAGATGGCGTCGGCCTCCTCGGGGCCGTCGACGGTCGGGTTTTCATCGGTGGATGCCAGCGTCCCTTCCTGCGCCTCGTCCTCAGGTAATCAGGGCGGGGCGTGGGCAGAGGGCCGATGAAGGCGGTGCGGTGAGAACGAGGGCGAGACCTGGGAGGGCACCTGTAACTGGGGATGTCCGAGGAGCTGCCGGTGGGGAGGACGGGCGCTGGGCGCTCAGGGCTTTCTGAGCGGGCATGGGGAGTCTGAGGAGAGGATGGATTGGATGGAGGAAAGGGAGGCTCTCGAAAACACTAGCTGTCTTCGCGGAGACCGACTTGAGAACTTGAAGCAGTGGGGTCAGGAAGGGATGGAGATTGAAAGTGGGGGTAGGAGGGAAACAGAAGGGAAACCGAAAGGAGTAAAGAAAACCGAAGTAAACAGAGGTCTAATTGGGGGAGTTACTTGGTGTGAGAGGCAGGTGGAATCCAAGTTGGTTATGGGTTAATTGAATAAAAATGTGGAAGAGGTGCCATGGGATTAAAACATGTTTAAGGGTTATGTGACGCTTTCCTTGGATTGCTGAGGAATTAGGGAACTGTGGATTTTGTTGGGGGTGGGAGTCATTGGAGACCTCCCCCCCCTCCTGCGTCATCCCTTCTCGGCGCCGACCCCCGCGCACTCGCTTGTACCCCCCTATTACAGCAAACACCCTCCTTCGATGATCCCCATTTCTGGACTGCCCACTTTGGGAAAGAAGAGGACGTTTTGAAGGAAGGTGGAAAATTGGAGTTAAAAGACAGATGGAGAGGATGGAAGGAGGCTGAGGGAGGGTTGTGATGGGAATTAGGCCTGGGCAGGATGGAGCGCTTGGGGGAGGTGATTGTACGTGCTGTGGGGAAATCTTGCATAATCGGAAACGCGCTGGAAGAATGCTTAGGCAGTATCAGGAAATCGGCGCTGGGAGCGCCGAGCCAGGCAATCTAGCTCCAAGTAGGCAGAAACTATTGGAGATTGAGGCAGGGCGGAGGAGCCCCCAAGAAAAGCAACAGATTGTGTGTAGGAGGGAAACTGTGTGTAAGCGTGGGGGAGGGGGGGTGGGAATCGAGTGAGAAACTGTTCTAGAGCTTCCATCAGAAGAGGCTGGTGCTCCAGTGACTGTGGACAGGAGACGCCGCCAGATGTTGGATGCTGTACTTGAGATGTTGACATTTCCTTGGGCCTGGGATTGCATCCTTGCTTTTGGAATCGGCTAAATAGAGGGTTCCCCCCTTTGTATTCCAGCTGGGATGAATGAGCGCGACTTACATGGTCACAGATACCTTCTTCCTAAGCTGCAGTTTTATTTATGTGTGTCTATTTTTAGTCCCTGGAGAGGTGTTTTCGGCCTTTCCTGTAAAAGCATTACAGGACCAGAGCAACTCGTGTTGCATTCGAAGTGTGAAGGATGAAGTAAATAAAAGGACGGGTGTTTTCATAGGGTAGTCCCTTCATGTAAAACTTTTCTCACCTTCTCCCAGTGCAGAAAAGAAGGTTGTGTGTAGTTCTTAAACTTAATTAAGAAGTTAGGTGTTCGCTCTTAGAACCAGGTTAACCTTTAAAAGCTATGTATTTATATTCCAAAGTTTGATTCAGCCTCTGCCCTGTGGAAGTATTGGCCACATGGACAGATTTAGGAGTGAAGGAATCTTTCTTTGTCACTTAATTGAATCATCTTCCTCCACTTCCATCTCTGCCCCTGTTTCAGATAGTCCTATCTTTTTCAGATGTCATTGTTTGATATTTTTATATTTTTGTGGTTACTGCCAGATCCTACAGCTAACAGTTATTAATTCAGACTGTATAAATGTTATTATCCTATTGTTTTCACCAGAAAATAAAATACTGGGTTTCGGTTTCAGTGGACTTTACAGCTCCTTGATTCTGTGATGTTCATATGAGAAGTCAAGGTATAAAAATAGTTTCAGATTCATATTTTTACTTTTGTTTCTCACATCCCCCATCTTTGCTTCTTCGACATAAACAATTGGATTAAGAAATTAAGAAAAATTCTGCTTATAAATAGTCTTGAAAACCTGATGGGATTTTTGTGTCCAGATATATATAGTGTTGACTTCTTTTGGTGTATCTTTAGTTTCACTTACGTTTGGCCTTAGTAAATTTAATTTAGTAAAATATTTCATTGTAAGGATACGATCAAAGAGAATAGGATATTAGATTCTGGCACCAAAAAAGCTATTAGGATTTTGTTTTTAAGTTTTAATTTTTTTTAATGGGTTTTATTTGTGATTGGAGCTGAGTGTTGCTGTGTGGATGGTACCAGGGGAATTAAACATTGACAAAAATGAGTGATGGTTTATGATTTCCTAAATTGTTAAGGGTAAGAAGGCCGGCCTTGTAGAAATTCAAGTAGGGGGTTGTGTGTGTGGGTTTTGTAACAATTCTAAAACCAATTTATTGTTGTTAGATGTTTAGCTGAGTTCACTTAAGTTTTGGTGGAACTCTCTTTGACTAATATTGAAAATAGATTCAAGATAAGAATGTTAGGATTGAGGGACAGATTGATGTTTTAGATAAGCTGCTCATAACCTTTGGAGGCTCAAAATCTTTTGGCATTCAAATTAAGAAGGACAGATTATTTAGAATAGTCATTCCCTGTCTATCTAGATTATCTCACTTTTAAGCTAGAGCTGGTCTTTTATTCTGCCGACATGTGAAATACAGAGGGTAGATCAAACCACACACCCTAAGTGATGTTTGACATCTTTTCGCATTGGAATAATTACTGTGTTTGGATTTGGGGGAAGCAATTATAAATGAATATCAGCTTCCAGCAGCCATCATCATGTGCTTGTTCTTACGCTTTGTTAATAAAAGTTGATGCAGTTTGCCTTCCAGTCTTAGCTGTTTGGTGTGCAGAGGAAATTTATTCCTTCTTTTGCTTTCTCCTCCATCCTCCTTATTTGGACAGTGGCACCACTTAAAAAATAAAATTAGCCCTGATGAGGTAGGTGCTGTTGACAGTATGACCATCTGTCACACCAGTATGCAGAGAGCCTATTTCCCTATCTGTAGTTTGACTAGTTTATCAAGAGCTTGAAATTCAGGGGCGCCTGGCTGGCTCAGTTGGTAGAACATGTGACTCTTGATCTCAGGGTTTTAAGTTCAAGCCCTACATTGCTGTGTAAAGATTACTTAAAAAACAAAATCTTTTAACAGAAAAGAAGGGGGGGTGGGATTTGAAATCAGCCACTGCATCCCTTTTTTACACTACCATGAAGGGAGTAAGGAGTTTCTGTTTTGGTGGGGTGCTCGGGTGGCTTAGTTGGTTAAGCGCCCGACTTTCGCTCGGTCATGATCTCGCGGTTCGTGGGTTCGAGCCCCGCGTCGGGCTCTGTGCTGACTGCCAGCTCAGAGCCTGGAGCCTGTTTCAGTCTGTGTGACTCCCTCTCTCTCTGACCCTCCCCTGCTCACACTGTCTCTCTCTCTCTCTCCTAGAAATAAATAAAACATTTAAAAAAAAAAAAAGAAAATACATTTAAAAAAAAAAAAAGAGTTTCTGTTTTGGAGACTTGAAGGAGTTAGGAAGGAAAGTGAAAATGCTGCGGGGTACACTGCTTCTCTGAAATAAGAGCTTTGTGATACAATCATGTCTGACTCCCCCAAGAAAAAAACATTTGAAACATTAGAAGATCATGAACCTGTAGTTCCTTTTTGCTTCAGACAAGAACATTTCTGAAATTATGGCCCTTCACCTATATGATTTTATCATGAGCACAAATTATTTGGAATTAACTTTATAGCTCCTTTCCTGACTTCATTTAACTACTGAACGGAACCCCAGAGGATGCAGGACTGAAGCATTTTTGTTTGGCCAGCTTCATAAATCCTTGATTCCGGTGGCTGTGTTCTTCCCAGAAGAGTCCCACTAGCAAATTATCCTGTAATCTGATAACTCCAAATGGTAGGGATTTTGTTGAGGTGTGTTTTGTTTTGTTTTTGGTCTGTGTTCTGTTTTGTTTTGGGGGGGGGAGGATGGGCACCTCGCTCTCAGGAAGGGGAGGGGCAGCTGGGGAGGAGAAAGAGAGACTCTTAAGCTGGTTCCACTCTCATGACTTTAGGACCATGATCTGAGCCGAAATCAGGAGTTGGACACTCAACTGGTTGAGCCACCCAGGCACCCGTCTGTGTTCTTTGTGTCCAGTGTAAAACATTTGTCACCTGGTCTTTTTCTCTTCAGTTCTTCTGTTCTGGTAATACGACTGAAACCACTTTATTGGAGTGAGAAATTGAAATTTGGAAATACAAAGATAGAACAAAATGTCAAAATATCACTAGGTTGACCATTTTGGTTGACATTTTGTAAATAGGGAGAGAGGTTTGTTTGTTTTCTCCATTGAGGTTTTTGACACTTCTTTTTCACTTTTGTTCCCTTGGGTAGAGTCTGACAGAAAACTGACATCAGAATGTCATTGTTGCTTTTTTCTTAATTTTTTAATGTTTTTAATTTATTTCTGAGAAAGAGAGACAGCGTGACCAGGGGAGGGTCAGAGAGAGGGAGACACAGAATCCGAAGACAGGCTCCAGGGTCTGCGCTAGCCATCAGCACAAAGCCCAGCGCAGGGCTTGAGCCCACAAACTGTGTGATCATGACCTGAGCTGAAGTTGGACGCTCAACCAACTGAGCCACCCAGGCACCCCCAGAATGTCACTGTTTTTGTTTAACCATTTATTTCTGCCATGGCTGCTCAAACTTGGTCAAGTGTGATTATATAGATTTATTAGGTGTCTAGAATCTGATATTAATCGGTAATAATGTACTGATAAGTTAGCTTTGGATATCAAAATAGTATGTTTTGTTGGTTTCTATGTGCAGTTCTGGGTTGATATAAACGTCTTCTGATTAATATTTGCCCAAATAGGTGCCAGTTACTAGTTATTACATATTTCATTAGTCTTTTTTTTTTTTTTTTTTTTTTTTTTTAAACTGTAGCCTGTGAAGTGAATAACAGAGATCATACCAGGCCAAAGACAGAACTGGGGATAGAAAAGGAAGGTGGTTATTTTTATCCTTTAATCTGGATGTTTTCTTTTCTAGAATTTTAGG